CTCAATATAAAGTTTATTTCGTTCTTGTTTTCGCCATTAGGGCTCCTCCATGTCCTCTTGCGGTTTCCTCGTTTTCGGTCGATGGTATTCAAACTACGTAACTTATTGCGTTCTGCGAATTCTATTAGTAGCTCTCCTCTGGCGTTTCTAGTACCGATGCCATAATCTCCTACTGCCTGGACTCCAGCCTGCTTCTTTCCTAAATTTGCATTAAAGTCTCCCATCAGTATTGTATACTGTGTTTTTACCTTACTTATTGCCGATTCTATGTCTTCATAGAAGCTTTCAAATGAAACATCATCATGGCTGTATGTAGGCGCGTAAGCCTGTACCACCTTCATCTTGTATCTCTTATTCAGTTTAAATACGATACCCGCCACCCTTTCATTAATGCTATATTATTCCTCTATGTTGCCAGCTATGTTTCTGTGAATTAGGAACCCCACTCCCAGTTCTCTGCTGTTAGCCAAGCCTCGATAGCAAAGAACGTGCACATTTTGTTGCACCGTATAAGCCTCATCTGTCCTCCTAACCTCACTGAGGCCTATTGTATCCCATTTAACACCATCTAGCTCCTTGAATAGTACAGCTAGACTTCCCTCACTAGATAAGGTTCTAGCGTTAAACGTTGCCAAGTTCAGGTTCCAATGGCTGAATAAGACGCTCGCAAACTTAATGGCAATCTACACTACATCGACGTACAGCACAAAACTTGTGACTAGAATCTGCCTTACGTGACCTTCGCGTATAACACCGCCATGTAAGAGACCACACAATTCACACCATTCCGGGTTTTCTACAGCCGCAAAGTGCAGGTCATGCTTGATTCCATGCTATCATGTCAAAACAAGGAGGAGTTCGCAACTGACGTTGAAGAATTCGCGAACCACCGTGCCGAAGAATCTCGACAGCTCGCACGACTGCACATCGGCCAGCAGCCGCTGGCAGACGCACGACAGTTTAATACCCTCCACAGAAAAGTGGTCTACAACCCCGGACACCAAGTTTTGGTGTGGACGCCCGTTCGCCACAGAGGCCTCAGTGAAAAGCTGCTTAGCCAGTATTTCAGTCCGAACAAATTGCCACGCTGCGTCAGTGACGTGAAATGCGAAGAGGTCCCGCGAACTCAACACTACAGGCACGAACCAGGACACAACCAGACATCGTGTCCGGATGACGTTCATTTTGCACGCATGAAACCATTCATTGCGCGTTCGTAACTTTTTTTAATCATTCACCAGTTTTTGTGTTTTTTTTAATTTTTGTGAATTTGCTTGTTCGTTCATTGACTTCTTTCTTATTGTCGTGCTCTTTATTGTCCACTTTATCTTCAACTGGGTTTTCCATTTCTTTTCTTTCTTCACGCGCTTATGTTATAGCATCAGGGCGATCTTATGTTTTTTCTTTTTTTATTGTTGTATTTTTTGTGTTTTTTTCCTTCTGAAGGGGAGATGATGCCACCTGCATGTAATGGGTTGAGAGCATGAGTGGTTCTCACCCTAAAAAAAGCAAAAAATATCACATTATTCTTGCTCGCACGAGGACCAGCCGTGACAGATGCGCTTTTCAGTGGCCCCTAGAGGGTCCCCAGAAGGTTCGTAGGTGGTCCTGTAATGTTCATTGTACCTGATGCCAGCTTTTCAACTGATTGACGATTTAGTAAATCTTCTTTGCTTCAGGATTCCATGGAAATTAGATGCCAGTTCAAGAATAAGGGTCATGTTTCTTTTGCTTAGAATAATTAGTGGGGTCACATTCGCGAATTTAAAGTGCGCATTACAAAATTGTGATGCCAGATTCCGCCTGTAAAATTGTATTTATACAGGTTGGTCATGTACCATCTCCCCTTTGCTTTTAATGTCAAAAGCCAGAAAACAGCAATAATTTTTTATTTATTTGCCGACGTTTCACAAGTCACAGGAAGGAAGCTTTAGAAACCATATTTAAAAATAAACATTACTCTTAATTCTGAAAAAAATACTTTCTCTTGAAGCTTCTTCTCTGGGCCACAGACAGGAGCGTCTGCATAGCAGTTTGTGAAATTTTCTGAGACACAACAAGGTTTGCTAGTCAATTTTTTATCAATAAACTCTAGTTTTTCGGTATTGCGTTCATTTTTTTCATACTAATTGTTAGTTATTCATTTACTTTATTCTTAGGTCACCTTAAAATTATTCATTCTCATATTCGCTAGATGAATAAATAATTATTTTTTCTTTGTCAAAATTTTAAATTCCTTTTTGCCCATTACAATAACTGCCAGCTTAATGTCCAAACCTCCGTAGGGGGTACGAGCCAAAGCATATACGAACAAGCAAGCAAGCAAATACACGCTTTTCGGGAGCTGGCTACATCTTGGTTAATTAAAAGACCCCTGCACTTCTGAAGTCTTGTGACAATATGTACTCTTATGACACAGCTGTCACAATTGAATGGCGGCAATAGTACTTAAGTGTCGTTCGCTCAAGTTCATTCATGTAGCAGTGTCAAGGGCTACAATCCTCCCGAGCACTCGCACTTCATATCAGCTTATTGTTTCTGGTGTTCATAATAGTCATGTTTTTGTTGACATTGTTACGCAACTGAAAACAATTCGTTAAACAGAACATATGCGGCAGCTAAACGTGTGCCTGTGCGTACATTTGTACGTATACTTAACGCCACATCGTAACGCTCGACAGAGTTAAAATTCACAACGCAGAAAGCTTCTATCCGCATTCTTCTCATGTTATTGATTCTCAAGATACAGGGATCTGTCAAATTTTTCCTGTGATTACCATGACGAGGATGGCATCTTCGAGGTTCTTCATCCCGATTACTTTGCCATCAAGTACGTCGAGAACACCCTACCCTCAGAAGAGACGGTGCAAAAAGCTCAAAATGGTGCAACAGATTGAAATCGACGACCGTACGACATATGCGCTGCTGGAAGCACTGCGATCGGGGCGCAGCAATTCGTGTGCTGCCTGCTTCAAGAGCATTTTGACCACAGAGAGCAGACGAGAAACACAAAACGTAATAATTCATTTGACGGTGTTTTCGATGAAATGGAACACAACTTTGCGCAAGTCAATGGTGAGAACTTCTTGCCTAACCTTGTGCTTCTGACAATCGGCGCAGAAAGCACGTCCGGGGTTCTGTTTGATGAATCACATCAGCCTCCCAAACTTCTCATCGCTATACTCACTCAGGGAGAGGGGCATGTAGAAACGTTGCAACAATATTTGCCGAAAGTTACAAAAATATTTATTAGGCTGAAGTGGGAAAACCTCTAGAGGAACTGGAATCCCCGGAAAAAATATTGAGATCAATAGACCACCTATTTCAAAGTTTACCCAGAGTGACTGACCACTGAAGCTGCCAAGTTCTTCCCAACATAAACTGGGAGACTCACATGGACACTCTCGTAGTACACGTCTTCGAGAGCAACGAGAATATGATAGATGAAAAGCCCATGGACTTCTCCTACCTCAGCCTGCGAGAGTTCATCAATGACTTCGACCTCACAGCAGTGGCGAATTCAGAGGGAGGGTGGTAGGGGCAATCGCCTTCCTCCAAAGGTTGTATCAGCCAACCCCTCACTTCACTGCCTGTCGTCCACACCCTATCTTCTGTTCGACCAAATGAGCGGAGCCACTGCGAGCACAATATAGAAGTATTTATGCTGTGGTGGTTTTCTTGTGTGAATGGGAACTAATAAAAACAAAAGAGCAATGACCCTTCCCCCTCGCTGGTTCATTTTAAGTGACCCCCCCCCCGCCCCACTTAGTAGAACGAATGGCTGGATCCGCCCCGGCCTCACCGCATAAGATCGCTGATGGACTGCATAAATCGTCTCGCTACCACTGGCTCTACTAGTACAGCATTAGATCAGAAATATGTTTTTAAAAGAAGCCGGCCGAAAAGTTCCTACAGACCCGCCGCGGTGGTTTAGTGGCTAAGGTACTCTGCTGCTGACCCACAGGTCGCAGGACCAAATCGCGGCTGCAGCAGCTCTATTTCCGATGGAGGCGAAAATATTGTAGGCCCGTGTGCTCAGATTTGGGTGCACGTTAAAGAACCCTAGGTGGTCGAAATTTCCGGAGCCCTACACTACGACGTCACTCATAATCTTATGGTGGTTTTGGGACGTTAAACCGCACATATAAATTAATCAATCAGTCAGTAAAGCTCATCCCATCGAATTTCCTGCTTGTAAGTCACATCTAGATGATACCACATGTACCTGCCTCAGGGTTCCCGTATGCATCTGTGCAACACAAGGCCCGTCATCGACAGCCATTAAGAAGAGAATTGCAAAAAAGGCATAAGCGAGGCTACTTATTAGACATGCGCTGACGTACAGCTGCTTAAAATGTGTCTTTGACGCATGTTGTTTATTGTTTCCATGCGGGCAAAAATTTTATCCCAACAGGTCTTGTCTTCGTAGTTACACCCAAAAGAGAGGCGTGTGAGTGGCAAGTAGCCCCTCTGCCTCCTCACCTTTTCACTTTCCACAGTATAAAAAACCGGCGGTGGCTAAAGCATAAACAAAGTAAGCAGCTACGTAGGTTCGCCTGTCGCCTTAGGGCTTTTCGCTGATTCGCAAAAAGGATTACGGCGTAGTGAGCACGGCGCGACTACACCTGCAGTAGGCATTCTAGGATAGTTAGAAACTGCCAATTGTACGCGTACAAATACCTGTCTCGTTGCGGCATGTTAGAGGCATGCATGCAGAACTTATGCTAGCCTAGCAGCTGAGAAGGCGATGCACACGGGCTACGATTACGCTATCGCATTCTGCTCCTGAAAGCAAAGCTCAAGCATCTTCGAAGTTCATGGTGCGGCTTTTGTACTACCAAGAAATGGTGATTAGGTTCAGTATCTTGAGGTGTTCAAATACCTCGAATGGTAAAAATGTCGTGCTGATAAAAAAAAACAGAAAGTATTTGAATGGAATACTTGAAAATTTCTACTTTAAACATAATAAAACTATCACACGATTAGTGTTGGCCGGATACCTCCTGTTCTGGTACCAAGTCTTGACCTGCGTCTCGGTGAGCCTGAGAGCCTTGGCCACTGATCCACGATCGGAGACGCTCAAATACTTTTGGTAGCGGAACTTCGCCTCGAGGAAGGCCAGCTGTGCTTGGGTGAACGCAGTGCGGCGCCGTCGCAGCTTCTTTCTGTCCTTCTCGCCGTTCTTGGTGGTACAGAACACGGCTCTCCGAGCCTTGCTCTCTGGAGTGTCTGCGAAAGTGAAAAAGAACGCTTACGTCTTTTTTCTCAGTATTTGTATTTGTCCTTCTGGGGTCAATCTACTTGCGTGTACAGCTGCTGAAAGTGCACCCGATTGAAGAAAACAAAAATGTACTCATGGCTGTCGAACCAAAACTTGAAACACAAAAAACGCCGGCATTTGAGCGATATCGAACCTATACAGGATGCTATCTTTTAAAACCTGTGGAAGTGACACGTACACTAAGACTTGTCTAAGCAGAGATCGAGAAACAGCTTGATTTACTAATAGTATTTTCATGGCTATTTAATTTTCTTTTGGGTAACCATTTTTTTTTTTTTGCTGAAGGTCTTATAGATTATGCGAGGTATGCGCCATAGCCTCTCCCAAGCAAGGCAGGTATAAGAGAAAGCAGAAAACACCAAAAGGCATATTCCCTCCAAAGCAGCGCTCGTGTCTAAAGCACGCTTCTTTGAGTGGAATTCATGTGTGGCGGGCCTTGCAGTGTCCCTTTTGCAACGCCGCTTTCAAGGCGGGCGCGTTCTTTATTTAGACAATAAAAAAATGAAGTTGCTGACACTTGCGGCAGCTCTTCAAGGCATGCGAACATTGTCACCATCTCGATGCTTGTTGTGGATGTGGAGTTGCCATTCTTATTTTGCGGCTTTTTTTTCCTGTAGTAGAGCCAAATCCAGACACAGAGTGTCGTTGAACTCCATTGGGGGAGCAAATTTTCTGGTTGTTTTGGAGCAAGTGTGTTTCAATGACAGAGTGACGGTGGGAGGTAAACGTTCCAACACAGAAGTCGGAGTGGATTCAGAGTGGCAGTCACTCGGTGGAGCAGGAAAAGTTGCTTCGCCGAAATTGATAGAGTGGACTGCAACTTGGCGGGACTTAATTCCTTTAAAAGGCTTGTTTGTTAAAGGGCGCAGCCTGATTTGATTGATGTGTGGGGTTCGACGTCTTGAAAACTCCATACGACTATAAGAGATGCCGTTATGAGAGGCTACAAAAATTTCGACCACCTGGAGTTTTTAACATGTGCCAAAATGTGAGCAGATGGGCCTACAGCATTTCCGCCTCCATCGGAAATGCAGCCGCCGCATCTGGGATTTGATCCCGTGACGAGCACGTCAGCAGCTGAGTACCTTAACCACTAGACCACCGCGCTGGGGCGGGTGCAGCCTGTGGTCAATTATTTTGGTGGTAATAGCGGGCGACATGAATAAGTCGACAAGTCACTGATTCTGCTGTTCGATAGTGAGAGCACCGAGTGAAAAAACAACAACATCGAGTCATGCAATAGTAACAGCGACACTGAAACTGCAACACGGTTCAACTGAATTTAGTATCGAATTAAAATTAATGAATCTAAGGTACTCAGGGCAACTCGTCCCTCGAAGGATGGACACCTCATTTCCGCATTGCTCCACTGGCGGGTGTTGTGTTCATATCTCAGATCGGCAGGCGTTGCTTTTCGCGAGAGTCGAGTGCTGGTTTGCGAAATCCACCTGCTGCTCGAACTCTTCTATAGAAATTCAAGATGGGCTGATTTGCACAGCTGTGTAAAAGACCCGAATTATTGTTTCTGTTAAAATATTTATAAGAAAATTGGGGCAATTCTTTATTCATATAAGAACAGAAAATGCAGTGTCATATGAAAAACGAGTAAAACTCTGTACGTGCTTGATTCAAACTAAGGTACATCTAAACCAGCGCTAAGTCATAAACCATGGTCATAACAACTATAGTTTCGGCACATAAATTGTTTCATATGATTCCTAGCTGCTTTCCTGCCATAATTTCATTGCACATTTAGCAATGCTACCCCGAGTTGTTACTGAGGGAAGGACGGGATGTTGCAGGGCAAAACTCGAGCGTAGAATTCAGAGTGAAAGGCTGACTTTTATTCTCTGTTTTGCATCTTATCCTTTCTTTTTGTGTTCTGCTTAGTAGTATGAAGTTCACCTTTTGCTCCAAAAGGGTATATTTTAAGTATGAGACATCTGAAATTAAGACCCTGTCTGACACTGGACCACTCAGTCAAGTAGAAAAGTATAATATCACTGGAAAGGTAGTTTCTTAAAATGCCGAATATAACGAATTCTTTCTTTCAAGTATCGCACTGACCTTAGTAATTGTCAGCAGGCTATATATATATATATATATATATATATATATATATATATATATATATATTGATATATATATATATTGATATATATATATATATATTGATATATATATATATATATATAATATATATATATATATATATTGTGGCGACGAAGAACAATACTGCGGTTGGGAGTGCGGTGATTGCAGGCGATACAGAGAAAGGCAAAGTAGAATATTGCACTCTCTGTTTTCAAAGGGTTCGTAAAACAAAATTGAAACTTCCCGGTTTCGATTTCTCTTTATTTAATAGGAATTGGACATTCCATTTCCGAAATATTTCGGCACAATATTCATTTTTAAATATAGACGACCGTTAGAAGTCGCAGTTTTTTTTGAGATCGCTAGCCACCATGCGTGACCATCGGCCGCTATAGGCACTAATATGTGACTTCAGTGAAACGTCACATCAAGAGATATTAAGACAAGTTAAAAACACAGCACTAGCTTTATATTTCTCCAAAGTAATTTATAGAAACCTAGAAAGGAAAACATATTGAAGCCATTTTTGCGCTTTGAGTTGTATGCTGTGCAATTAAAATGAGTGATCTGCCGAGCAAGCATCCTACTTGCTGAATGCAGCCGCGCGGCCACTGCACCAGTCTGATGGCCGTGGCCAATGGTAGCGCGGGAGCGTGACAAGGGGCGCCACTGGTGGGCACCCATCGCAAGCTTTTTTCGTTCGATAAACTGTTCCTGTTTTATTCAATCATCAGTTGTTCCTAATAGGAAACAACTGATGATTGAATGAAGTAATGCTTGATGTGTGGTATTTCTGCAAGGCAACGTCCGTTTCCGAACTAACAACGAGATATCAAGCCGTAATGGAAGGCCATTTCACAGGTAAACAAACAGTGACACCGGCCGTCTTGGCGAATCGGCCAGCTTCGTTGCCACCTTTGCTCTATAGATCGAGTTCGTCGACAAAGCTAGTTGCACGGGTAAAGCATTGTATGTAAGTGTACAAGTATTAATTGTGTTGGTAAAAAGAAGTGCTCGACAATGAGCTCACGTTGAAAAGCGAGCGGCGCTACCGAGAACGTCGGCCTTCCTAGGTCTACGCTCGGAGTCGGGATTGAATGCGGGCTGTGGCGATGTTTGTCACTCGCGAAGGCGTAGCTTCTTTAGCAATGTTATTAGGCAACGAACCATGACTATGTGAGGTTGTTTATTTTGTAAGAGGGAACAATGTCTTCAGAGTGCGCAAGCTGAGATGCCTTACGTGGGCGCAGCCTGAACGCTGAGGGCTCGTTCGCCCCATGTCTCGGGAATCGTCGTAAGCTGCGTGCGGCGTCGCACACCGGATCGGACACTGAATTGCACTATGTGTCCAGCGCTTAGTCCTTGCTACATCAGCCGTGGGCGTCGTCAGACCATGCCGCACGCAAAACTTATCAAAGTGCAAACAACGTTCGTTCTCACAAGCTGCCCAGCGAGCCACAGCGCTGAGCACTGTTTCGAGCAATCAACCACGATGTCCCCCGATAGTATGGGTATACAGATTGGAAACTCGTGGTCGGGGCTTCCGCAAGCGGAGGTTCTGCCATACAGTCTCGAGTGCATGCAGGGCAGAGGCTTCTTCGCCGTCGTCACCGCCATCGCTGCCGTGTTTTTGAGCCGACTCCGCTCAAGCTGACGGCGTTGAAGCACAGACACCTATATACTGCCACTTGTAGTTCGGTTGTAGTTCGGCAAAGTCAGATGGTGTTGACGGCGCCAAACACTATGCTGCTACGAACCTTGGTCAACTAAGGCTCGAAAACATCGCTGTGTCACCATGTTTTGTCACTGACAAAGAAGCTTCATTGATTAATTGATATGTGGGGTTTAACGTCCCAAAACCACCATCAGATTATGAGAGACGCCGTAGTGGAGGAAGAAACTTCATCGGCTGTCTTAAAGTCACATCAGCTGCAAAGTTGACGGGAACGTGAGCTGGGAAACCGAAATCACGCTTTTTATGTATTAATTGAGTACAGACAATCAAACGAATCGAGGTATAGTATTGAATGGACTGCCAGAATTCTGAAAACACACGTAGTTTAAAATATTTGAGAAGGTTTCACGACCCTTTAGGTAGGTTTTTTTATCATTTTGTCACGCTTCTTTATTCATTGAATTGCCTACAAATTCATATAACCTATTCTTGGCCTATCCTACTAAGTGCGTATGAGTCATGCTTGAGGCATTATCATCATCATCAGCAGCATGACCGGCCCAGGAACGGGTGCTGTCTTTGCATTAAAACAGCGCAGCATACAATGTCACCCGAACATAGAAGCTGAAGCCACGTGTCCTCGCGGGTCATCGGCAACACTGGTATATTCATCCTAGCAACGCCATTCAGGCTTCCTAAATCATGGGCTCCACAACCAGACCGCTGCTCCCCTACTCCACGAATCACTCGAGGACGGTGCCAATGCCTCTTCTGTTGTTCCGGGGTACAATCTGACAAGCATCTTGATGCCACCTTTCTCTGAGAAGGTACATGGGCTTCTGCCATTTGGTTACGTCACGCACGGTTTCCGTGACATGAATACCGTGGCCAAGACTCTTTTAACTGGTGAGCATCTAGGCCACGCCAGTCAGGCTCCCTTGGTATACACCGACGCCGCCAGGACAGAGCGCAGCCTCCTGTGGCCGGGAACGCTGTCCATCCTTCCCGTTCTGACACTCTTCGTTCAATGCTCAATGCGCACATGAGAAGCTTCGGTATACTGTGCAAGCTCCCTCGGAAAGCCAATCCGCTACCGTGAGCAAAGCAACCACTTCCTCTTTCATCAACAACGCCACTGCCTCTCGGAATGCGAATAATCGGATAGTGCCCTTCACCTGTAACGTACCCAAATCCACTTGCAGCTTAAAGGGACTGTCTACCGCTCGAGAAAAGTTGTCTGACTGTGGCACAAATGAAAAAATCGTTCATCACATCGGCGGCAACGAGCATGTTTTCGGGCCAGAAAAAAAGGAATTATAATTTTAGCAGTATCCTCTGTCTCTAGCAGTATCCTCCGACAGTGTTATCCTCTGTCGGCTCAGGTTCAACCCTCGGGTTCTTGGCCCAGTGTTTCTAGGATTGCATAGACTAGAAGATTAGAAGGGTAGACCGCGCCCTTCGACGCTGGCACCTACCCCACGCCGGATCCTGTGAATAAAGTCTTTTTTTTTCTCTCTCTCTCTCTCTCTTTAATTACGACAATCTCGACTGAGAACAACAGCGATACTGACGTGACTATTCACCTTAGCGTCATTCGCGAGTTAGAACAACCTAAGAGGGTAAGGCTCATCAGTCTCCTCTCATTCTTTAGTGACTGTTTTACCACTACGTCGAAAGTCCGGCAGACTCCTCTAATGAAGCACAGAATTATCACTGAGCCCAACGTCCAACCCGTGCGCCAAAACGCTTACCGTGTGTCGCAGAATGAGCAGGATGCCATCCGTCACCAAGTGAAACAAATGCTCGACGACGACGTAAATCAATCATCCACTAGTCTTTGGGCGTCACCAGTTGTTCTGGTGAAAAAGAAAGATGGTTCTCTGCGATTTTGCGTCGACTGCTGCAAACTGAACAACATAACAAAAAACGACGTATACCCCGCATTGATGACTATTTGGATCGCCTACGGCACGCCCGTTATTTCTCTTCCGTGGATATCCGTAGCGGATATTGTCAGATTGAAGTCGATGAATGGGGCCGAGAAAGAACAGTGTTTATGACACCTGACGGTCTGTATGAATTTACACTTCTCGCTTTTGGCCTGTGCTCCGCTCCAGCCACATTTCAACAAATGATGGGCACAGTTTTATGTGACCTGAAGTGTCACTCTTGTTTAGTGTATTTAGATGACGTAGTCGTTTTTTCTACGACTTTTGAACAGCACATTGAGCGGCTTGAGGCGGTTCTTCTGGCTGGTCGCACTGCCAGCCTTTCTCTCTGAAACCGGAAAAGTGTTATTTTGGGTATGAGGAACTCAAATTCCTTGGCCACATTGTCAGCAGCAGTGGTGTTTGCTCCGACCCTGAGAAAGCTATGGCAGTTGCTTTGTTCCCGATACCGAGAACAAAGCATGATGCACGCCACTTTCTTGGCCTTTGTGCTTATTACTGCCGCTTCGTGCCGAAGTTTTCGAAAATCGCCGACCCTCTACAACAACTCGTCAAGGACGACATCGCCTTCATCATGGGTCCCAAACAATTCGACGGTTCCCGCGACCTTCAAGAACGCCTACAAACGCCTACAAACGCCGCTGATTCTTAATCATTTCGACAACGAATTAGATACTGAAGTCCGCATTGACGCGAGCAACCTTGGCCTCGGAGCTATTCTCGTGCAATATCAAGATGGAGTAAAACGCGTCATCGCCTACGCTAGGCGCACGTTGTCATCTGCGGAGAAGAACTACTTGACGACTGAAAAAGAATGTCTGGCGGTTGTATGGGCCATAACGAAATTCAGGCCCTACTTGTATGGACGCCCCTTCCGAATTGTCAGTGACCACCACTCTCTCTGCTGGCTAGCGAATCTGAATGATCTTTTAGGCCCTCTCACAAGATGGAGCCTTCGGTTACAATAATTCGATAGAACGATGGTTTACAATTCTGGCCAGCAACACACCGACGCTGACTGTCTTTCTAGCGCAACCGCCGAGATCGCTGCAGAAGACAAGGATGAAGACTTCAGCTGCCTTGCCATTCTCGCATGATTAAACGTGGCTGAGCATTAACACGAATATTTAGAACTACAACCACTGATTGAATACCTTGAGGGACGTCGATCACAACCCCCCCCCCCCCGTCAGTTTGCGCGTGATTGGTCATCTTTCTGTCTACGCCAAGACATCCTCTACAAGTGCAACTTTCATCCAACAAAAACTGTGCATCTCCTTGTAGTTACTGCTGCTCTCCGCGATGCTATTTTGCGTGCTTGTCACGACGAGCCATCGTCATGGCATCTTGGCTTTGCGCGTACTCTGGTGCGGATCAAAGAGAAATACTACTGGCGGAAACTTACAAAAACCATTCAGCAGTACATCAAGACATGCACTGCTTACCAGCGCCGCAAAAATCCAACGACAAAACCAGCCGGTCTGCTTCAGCCTTTACAACCCCCTCACGCACCTTTTGAAAACGTCGGGATGGATTTACTCGGCCCATTTCCAAAGTCTACGGCTGGTAACCGCTAATTGTGGTTGCCACCAACTACTTGACCAGATACTGCGAGACACAAACGCCTGATGTGGCTGACTTTTTTATCAAGAACATCGTTCTCCGCCACGGTCCTCCCGCTGTCGTCATCACAGATCGTGGTATTGCTTTTACGGCACAGTTGCTCCGAGTGATCCTGTTGCTCAGTGGCACGACGCACTGAACAGCAACTGCGTACCACCCACAGGCTAACGGGTTAACCAAACGCCTTATCAAAACCAGTGCAGATATGCTTTCGATGTATGTCGCCAAGGATCAGAAGAATTGGGACGAAATCCTCCCATATATAACATCTGCCTACAATACGGCACTGCAGAAAACGACCGGATTTGCTTCTTTTCATCTGGTTTACGGCCGCGACTTCATCACAATGCTTGACACCATGCTGCTACCAACTCTGCCGGTCATGATTACCCCGGACGCAGATGTATTTTTTCAGCGTACCAAAGTCGCCCGGCAGCTGGCGCGCTTTCGCATTTTATCGCTGCAAAATCAAGATGCTCGCGAGTACAACACATACAGTAGAGCATTATTATACGAACCCAGTGACCTAGTCTTGGTTTGGACTCCTATACGTCAACGTGGACACTCAGAAAATTTTTTATGTCGGTACTTCGGACCCTCTCGAGTTATTGATCGCCTCGGGGAAGTGAACTACGAAGTTGTCCCAGTAGACACGTGGCACCGTTCTCGTAAACCACGCTCCTCTGATGTGGTTCACGTATCCAAGATGAAGCCGTACTATTCGCGTTTACTGCAAATCAAGAGCTTTGTGATGTGGCACGTGCTTTCTAGACAATCGTACATTTGTTTGTTTGTTTGTTTGTATCCTCTAATCCATGGCTCATACCCACTCTGGGGGATTAGCCAAGAGAACATATAGTCTCATACGGACGATAACTGCATTATTGCTTACAACAAAAAAAGGGGGGGTTGGGGGAGTTGTATAGTGAAGACAGTATGTTAAAAAAAAGAAATAAACCAAAGATTTAGACAGTGTGAAAAAAGAATTAACAACAAAGTAGACACTAATAGCTAGAACTTGATTTTAGGAGCCGACCAGACAGCTGGTTTCGCCAAACCCGATTCATTTGGTATGTCACGGATTTATCCAGAATTGAAAATTATTTTTCGACCCGTTTTTTTTTTTTTGGGGGGGGGGGTATCATTCTTTTCTCGCTTCTTTTTTTTTCACCTCGCCCTTTCTATTTTCAATGAACACAGACATTTCTGACTACCTTTCATTGTTTTTAGGCATTCATGCGATGCTTCTTTTTTTTGTGGAGAGGGTAATGCCACGCTGTGTTGGTGGCAGAAGAGGAGAGCGAAGAAGTTATTGGCTGCTGTGGCTGAGTAAACAGTCGTCCACTTCGAATTCCTGTCTATCGTTTCCTCTCGCGACAATATATCACTTCTCCCGCTTTCTTGGAAGTAAGTCGGGTCAAGAGAAAATTCACCTGATTGTCATCGAAGCTTCTATTCAAGATGAGTCGAGGGGCATTAAAGCGTCGCTTAATTTGGCAGTCTTCTATGTAAGTGATCGTCTTGCCCTTTTTCAGGAGCTTGTCTTCCGTGGTGAAATTGGTGATAAACACGGCTCCTCAGCCTTCTAGTATCTGAACGACGCCGCGTGTGACACAAACTTGGTGATCGAAAAGTAGCTGCAAGTTTGCTTCACGATAGCATCACCAGTTGAGAACGCACCGGTTTTGACGAGTGCCATGACGCACCCATTTGGCCGCGTGACGCTTACTTGATCGCGAGGATAGTGGATGAAGCACAGTGACGATTGTTGTGCACTGATGCGGACTGTTTTGTCGTCAGTGTTACAGTTGTCGTAGGGCACCTGAATGGTTTTCCTCGCCCGCCGCTCCGTGTCGGGTGAGGACATTGTTTGACGGGGTGCTCGCCGCCACGACCGGTTTTTCCCAACGATCGCCGCCATTGCAGATCTCGCTTTTCATATAGTGACGGTAGCGAAGAAGGATCTGTGGCCACTCAGTCAGTTCCTTTTTAGTAAAATGCCTTGGTGTTGCGTGCCCATGTGCACAAACAACTCCAGAAATTATTGGAAACTCTACCATTTTCTGACAGAGCACGAAAAAAGGGCTGCAATGAATCGTGGAGATTAGGCGAAACAAGTGGTAGCCTACGAAGTCTTCATGTGTATGCAGTGTGAGTATCCCGACACGTGTTCTTTTCTCGTCGAAAACTTTTAAATGTATTTTTACAAATATGTATACGTGTCTGTGGGTCACTTTTTCAGTGCTAAAAACGCTTCACGTCTAAGTTGTAGCTTTTCTTTTCTTTTGCGATCTCTAAACGCACCGCCGTGAAAACATGTGGTGTGGCCGCAGTATTTGAGGCTGCTAGCAATTTTCAGGCACTATATGTATAGACTAAATAGGCTGCTTGTTTGTAAATTGCGCATTCCCTGAAAAGTATTTTTCATCCCTTTATTGCAATTTGTGAAATTCATTAAAACATTGCGGTATACTGTGCTTCTCTAATAATTTTTTTATGCTAAGCGAAGCCCGACAATTCATGGTTTAAAACGGACTTACAGGTGCACAGAAGCAAGACATGTGCTTTGGCAAGCCTTTTATGACCGGTTGAACTTGACCAATTGCTTATAAACTTCATCATTATTTTTTTTCTTTCAGAACATTTAATCGTTTGATTGAAGTATTTTGAGTTTCTAGTGAGCTGGCTAACCTCCATTTCCTTCCTTCCTCATCCTCCTTCTCGTTGAGTTCACAGACATTTTTCTAATTTGGGATGCAATGTCACATGCACCAATAAAAGCAGCATTGTGATCTTCAAGCTGACTAATGTTGCGATCTTTGGAAGACTTTTATGGTAAGTTAATATTATTGTTGTCGAAGCAATACCAACACAGCGTCACAGAGGCGGAATACGATAGGGATACTTCTCGGCTGATTAGATCGTGTGCTTAGATATATCTATGCAAAGTTCAGAAACACAACAGCTATACGGCATCAACAACATTGTTATTATTCCATTTTACCTTGTATTTTTAATGGAGTAACACTTTTTTTTCTCAGCTGTCATAGAAAAATGAGAGGTTTGGTGCATGTTGACGCTTTTTCACTACCTCCATCAGCAATAAGGGAAATATAGCCATGTAACAAATCTGAATCTCATTTTCTCAAGATTATTCAGAGCTGCGAGAGCACGCAAGGCGGTGAAAAAAGGAAGATGAAGTAAGTTTCACACGTACAATGAGAGCACTATCAAGCAGCTGGCATACTCCATGGCCACTGATGAGTTCGGTGAGTATAGGTAACAAGAAATGGCGTGCGACTCCTGAAATATTGTAGATTTATTCTTCAGTCTCCAAGCCCAGACACACGTATTCAGACTGTCTTTTATAGCGCGAAATGCCCTTGATCGCAATAAACTCTTCTCAAACTCTTCTCATACACGTGCGCAGGCAGTGTGCTCCATTTGGGGTCAGACATGTAATGGCAGACGCAGTATCAGACGACGCGGTCGTCCCCACCCTGTACGGAGGGGCGAGCGAGAGGAAACCATTCAAGCACCCTAAGTTTTTGTCTGCACATGAATCACTGCGACATTTTTGTCCTGAAAGCCCATCTTCAAGATCATATCGAGAGACTACTTTTATGTGATTGTCACAAACGACGGCAACTTTTGTTTCACCCGCGCGCCCCATCGTCCAAGGAAGAGCGCTTTTGTTTTGGGAAGATGACATCAGGTGACTGGTGACGCAGCGGCGGCGCAACCGCGTCTTCCCTGCACCTGTACCGAAAGAAGAAACATGCGTTCGATGAAAAAGAAGTGACCTCGTGGGGGACGGGAAGTCCCGTAAGATGTCGGGCTGCATCGTAAATCAGCAGTTAACGTGCAAAGAGCGGAAATCGTAGTCCTCTGTATTGCGAGGCTCGCGTAGACGACGAGCATGGAGCGGCCCGCGCAACGTATTCAGGCGGCTGCATTACCGGGCACCCTCGTCGTCTACTAAGCTGGCGAGATCTTCAGCGGCACCCGTCAATTTTTCTACGTGTAACAAAATCTGGCCTGGTTCGTATACATGGACCTTTTTGTGACGTTTTTTAAACTGTAATTGTGTTATTCCCAGCCTTTCAAAAATTGTGGTTGCGTGCGCTGCGTCACACTTAGAAATTCAGACGCACGACCATGATCGTTTTCTTGTACACTTTCTATGTATCTGCTTCAGTTTCATCATGTTCTAATTTTATTATCATTCCACGTATTTTATTTTGTCTGTGCCTCTTGTATATAGTGTTCTTTCAGAACATAGTTTGTTATATAGCTGTTGTTTTCTATCGCGCGATTATTCATTGTTTACGCTTAAGTTAATGTTTATCAACTCTTTGCAATTGTCCTCGCTTTAAATAAAAGCTTTTTGTGTTTAGTAAAATGTCCGTGTCTGCTCAATGAGTGCGTCGGTCGGGCCCATACATCACCACACGTGTGAACCCGCATGGTTTGACCGACCTGCCAATAAATTTGAGATGTGCCACTTCGAGGCTCTTCGGGCGTCGCAGGTCAAAGCTCAAAGTGGAAGCCTGCGAGTCTGCCACACGCCGATGTTAGTTCGGCGGGGCCTCACCCGAAGTGTGTGACATTATCTGGCATCCACGACAGGACTAGTCAATCATGTGGTGATGTCTGGGAGACTGATGTAACTCTCAGCGTGCAGTATGTAGCCATCCTGTTATTGCTCTGTTTGTTGACAACGGTTTATAGTAATGAACGACACGAAATTTGATGAGTTAATTGAACGAGGCAAAGCCTTTGGTTTTGTAGGCATTGCGTTGTTTGATTTTGTCAAAAAAGAACGAAATAAATGGAAAGAGGAACGTGATGCTGAACGAAAGTGGTACATGCAAAATATGCAATTCGAGATGTAACGAAAAAAAGAGCGGTCCAGACTAAGAAAACAAGATGCGAAAGCGCGCTTGAGATTAGGACCGCTCACTATGCAAACTGGTCCCAGCTTAGCCGCTAGAACGCCCAGTAGCGTGACCAACTGTGGCCTGAACAAGCAGTCATACCAGGATTATGTTCAGCTATTGCGCCAGAAAACTGAAAGTACACGGCGCGTGCTTGAGGCCAGGGATACTAGGCAAGAAATTTACAAATAGCCCTAATGCGCCGATCTGTCAGCCGGAGAAAAAGATAGTACGTGTGATGTGAACAGCCAGTTCCTTACAGAGTTGTGGCCACAAAGGCCCCCGAAGGCAGTGATGGCGACGAGAGGCTGTGGCGGGAGAGTCTTGCTGAGAAAGGATGGCCATGTGTAATTGACTTGACACACTCCCTGTGTTTGTTCGTCGTCATGGCATCTACCAGTTATAAAGTTCCCAGTGCTACTGGCCCAAAAGGCAAGAACCCCTGCAGTGACTGTTGGTCAGAGACGTGTGCTGACGCTCACTGTGAGCTGGACAATGTAGCGACAAATAGCCCTCCTGGGTGCCAGTGGTGCAGCCCTGAGCAAGACGCCTACATTGTACAACAGTCGGCTAAGCTGTACACTACTCCAGTCGTTGATCATTTGAGTGCAGATCACCCCAGTTTTGTGGACAGTGCAGTGATCGACGCCGACAACACTATTCCTGCTCTGCAAATAACGCAAAAAGACTTATCTAAACCGAGCACTGGGCTACTTGCAAAAAGAAAATGACCCCGCAAAAGAAGAAAAGAAGAGTGTAATGCAAACCAGGAAAAAAAGCTGGCAAAGTTCAAACAATGCAACGAAACATTCGTTTGTGCGTTGTGACATTCGCGAGGCGAGCGCGTCCTCATGCTCCAAACCACCCGAAGGGTAAAGGGTTGAGACAGGCAATTTTTCCTGAAGCTCGGAGGAGCCAACCCCCACCACTTCATTCTTGTGCTCGAGGAGTAGAATGCACGGAGAAGAAGCGCATTAGGCCCGTGTACATGGACGCGACGGGGGCGGGCTGAGTTGAGTGGCGGGTTCAGCTTACCTCGACGCGCCCGAGTTTATATGAACTCGCACGGACGAGTTGAGGTGAGCGGTGATCACAGCGACGCTTTGCGTCGAGGCGAGCCGAAAGCCCGTCTTCCGGTACCGGTTTTAGCTCCTCCAAGCCTGCGCTCTCGCCTCTCGCCGCTGTGGGCTGCGGTTGTTTACGCAGTTGTCGCTCCGCCACTGCGATGGCTGTCGTGGTATTTTTTCTCAGTTTGCACCAGCTGTACTTAATGGTTGTGTTGGCGTCTTGTCGCTTGTTGTGGCTTGTCGCTAATACAAATTAAGCGGCGCCCTGAACCTCGTTGAAAATTTTAAATTGAAAGCAATAAGCAGTTTTTAAATGAAAATGACGAAAGACCCTCATCAATTGTTGGAACAAAGTGTACAGTTCCACCACAATTAAGTGCACCGTGTTCCTTTTGCCTCATACGCTCACCCTGTTTGGCTAATCTGATTTCTGTGGCTTTTGGACTGGACAGTGAGATCCTTACACGATTAACTTTTAAACTGAGGGCTTGTAATTTCAATTGGAATGCAATATACATTTTTGAGTAAAATTTCTATCGGCTTACGTAAGCTTTTCTTCAAATTCTTCCGACAGGGCCTTGTTTGTTCCCACGTCCACGTCAGGCCCTGTTCCTTCAAACTTGTTTCCAGTTCCATGAATATGTCCTTATTTTTTTGCCGCTTGCTATCGAGCAAATCACTCAGTTTTTTCTCGTTGACTAAAGCTAGCAATGTCGTTATTTCATCATCTGTCCACATGGTGCGTGGAGCCCGCGAGCATGTCATCGTGCCTAGCGCGCGCGTACCGGCCGACAGAGAAAGAGCAACGTCGGAGTGATGGGGACAGGGGAAGCGGGGACCGCGACAGGCGGGAGAGGTCACGA